CTGGATCCAAATACTGTGTCCAGAACAATGACAACAGTACATTCTGAAACTCTTAGGTAGTGTAAACAGAAATGATAAGGGCAAGCTGGGAAAACTTAGTGGAAACCAAGTTAATTTTCTTGCCTACAGGGTTACCTATATACATAAGCTGTATAATACTACTACAATGCACGTCTATAGAACCGTTCAGCAGAGCATCTCAAAGTGCTTTCCAAACATTAATTCAGCGTCATGACAACCTTATGAGATGTTAACCTCTTTACAACAGGCAAATGAAGTACGTGGCTTGGTCCAAGATCACACAGTTGAGTCTCGGGCAGAGCAAGAAACAGAATTGTGGGGCATGAAGACAGAGGGAGCCACAGATAAAATAAATGAGAAACAGCAAAGGAGTGCAAGGTACTTAAAATACTCCAAAAGGAAGGTGGGAATGGGATATGAGAGAAATACAGGAAAGGGGGCAGACTTCTTAAAATGTAGGATCATGTTTCTTCTATTACTCCCTGTATCCTGAAGATTAGACAGAGGAAGGCATGCCTTGCAACTTTTTTCATTAATTCACAATGTTTTTTTGCAGCAGCAATGAGTTCTGGAAGGAGTCATATCCAGCATTTCTCAGCCAATAGAAAGCTCCTATGATTTCTTGCTTTTGTGAAAAATCAGTTTGTACACAAAAGGGAATTCAGAGACTCCCCCAGCAGCAGAGGGTCAGGCTGCAGGGAAGAGGAGGAGGAAGAAACAAAATTGTGTAATTCAAGGAGCACTGTTCAACAGAATAACTAAACATTTAAAAGAGTTCTTTTTGGCAGTCGTTCCCTGCAGAGCACGCCCACAGATATCAACCGGAGTTCCACACGTGTATGACTGCGGAATTAAAATGTTAAAAAAGAACAGTCTTCCAGCCAACAGACCCCATATTAGCCCTCATCGCTATGAGTCTCTAATCACTGTCGTACATCATATTTTTGTTAGCGGAGAGTGAAGAAGAGAACAATAACCGAGTAAGACTTCATACATGGGCTCCCAATTTCTAAATTAATAAACCTGCATCCAAGAACCATTAAGACATGCTTTTGTAATACACCACCTCCATAGCTGATCATTACTTACTCAGTTGGAAGGGAAAAACTTCTGCAAGACAATTGCATTTTTGTCTAAATTACCTGATTCGTAAGAGAGTTTGGGAATGCTTAAGTCATCCTTTATCTATTTAAGACTTTTCTAAAGTGCCTGTCACCACAGTCCCCAAGCACTGATTTATTATAGTTTTAATAATAATAAGCTGTGCTTCTATGGCATTTTTATTTAAGGATCTCAAAATGCTTTATAAATATCAATTAAACCTCAATCCACCTGTGAGGTATTATCATGCCTGCTTTACAGATGCTTAAGCAGATGTTAAGGCCTAAATTTTGCAAGTGTACCCATTTTTGGATGTCCCACATGAAACTCTAACAGACTAATTTTCAGAGGTACTAAGCACCCACAGCTCCAATGGAATCTGCTGTTCCTCAGCACCACTAGGAAGAAAAATCTGGCCCTAGATATCAAACTGGGTACCTCAAAAAAACCCGAGGCAACCAAAATTAGTAGGCGTTTGAAAATTAAGGCATAAATGACTTGCACATGTCAAGTTTAGCTCTTAAAAGCCCTGAAGTCAAGCTCACTGCTTTAGCCAGTAGATTGCTCTCCCTCCCACAGAAACATCACATTGCTTTCCTCTACTCTCTGTTTAGATCTAAGAGGATGATGGTAAACTTGCTATCTAACTGATTTCCTTAATTCAGGCCTTAGATTACAGTCAGCTGTCACTTCTCCAACACATCTGTGATATTCCAAAACAGGACAATGCTTGTTTGCTGCCAGTACATTGCTCATTTGCATCCTCACTCACGTTCAAATCATCTTTGACTTGTACAGTGAATTTTAGTTTCAGAATGTTGTAAAATACAAATCAGTAAAACCAGCCATTAGGTTATAGTTAAAATTAAAAATAACCTTATATTCTACTGTGCTAATAAAGTGCACTTTCTTGCTACCATTTTTGCAAAGATTATTTTAAAATTTGGGCTGTCAAAGCTACTAAAAATCCTCTCTGTAGTTTAGACTTTTACTTTAAATTAAAATAGTGGCACATAGAGCATTGTCGCTTCATGTTTGAATGATCTGAGATCCTGACATGATCTCTTGCCTGGAGATGTCGATTCAAAGATTATCCCTTTAAAAAGCACATAATTTTTTCTATTTTTTAAAAAATATTGAATCTGAGGCATGAGTGCCACAACACTGCACTTTCGTAGTAGCAATAAGGAAGATGTTCTCTTATTTACTGGCTGAGTGAACTGGGAGAGGGGATTTTCCTTTTGTGGGGAAGCTTCCGATAATTACTTCAAGTCTCTTCAGCCCTCGTACCAAAACCATCGCATAGGGCCGTTGACAAAAGTTTCTGCATTTATCTCTTCCTCCGAGAAAGAGTGAATGAAGTTAGATTCAATTATCTTTGAGTGTTAAGATGCCTCCCTTACTAGCCATTAGTGTAAGACAGCAAAAGTAAATACTAATAACTTATCAGTGGGGCAACATGCTCTTGATTATTCTGGTTATGTGTGCCAAGTGTTTCTCAAAAGAATTTCTTGCAATTTCAGCGATTATGTTTGGCGGAGAAAAAAAATCTTGGTTTTTGTTTTCTTTTAGTATAAATAAATACATGCCACAATCTTTCGTAAAATTGTAAGGCCAGAAGGGACCGTTATGATCCTCTAGCCTCATTTCCTACATAACATAGGCCACAGAATTTTACCAAGTGGTTCATATATTAAGCCCATAGATTTCAGTTAAGCCTAGGTAGATCTTTTAGAAAGACATCCTCTCTTGTTCAATATAAGGAATGCCAAGTGCAACATAGTTTTGCCACCACTGTGTCATTGTATTAAATCATAGCATTCTCTATTAAGAGAATACAGCAAGGTCAGAAACCACCCATTTTTTTCTTATCTGAATAAGCCCTGAAACACTGCACTGTAAGTTTTAATCTAGGTAGTAAGCACATTTATTTAACGTAGAGGTTGCAAATCACAACGTTCTCCAATAGAGGCTACACAGATTAAAGAATTTAACTATATTATCTGCAAATTATTTTATACAGCTACAGTTTACCTACCTAGACTACCAGATGCTAGTGCAGACTGCAGTGCAGCGGCCAAACTTGGAACCACCTGCTGGTAGTACATGGTATCTGAACAGATGCAGGCTGTTGCACCCACAGGTCCAGGCCAGCTTCGGATAGGTCTAGGAAACCCAATCAAAAATATTGGTAGAGTGAAGAGCGGCAGCATGGGGGAAGAAAGTAGTGCACAGACAGCTATGAAGGCCAATACAATTGGGAAGAAAACAATGTTGAGTGTTATTAAGGTGGCAGTAGATTTCCGACGTTGCTTTTTCTCTGTCCATGATGTCACGAGAACAGCTACAGCAAACTGCAGTTTTGAGATCAACTGAAGTAATCGATCCCGAATGACACCAGCCTGTTGAGATACATACAATAATCAAATATTTTTCTTAGGTATCTGGTCACATTCAGCATTGCTAGAGCTCTTTCAGGTTTACATAGTTTTATTTAGTACACTTAACATTAATTATTAAACCAAGAAAAAATCCATGTCTACAGAGTTTCCGTCTCCATAGCCATAAGCCCTGAGCCCTAATTTTGGAAGAAGTGGGCAAGAAAAGAATAGGATGCAATATCTAGCTGCTTAATTAAAATTAGGTTTACCAGTAAGAGTCTGATTCCTGTATCAAGGCTTCTGTTCCACCACACATCTGTATTAAATAGCAACATCTGCACTATCGATACAATCACCATCTCCAACAGGGCATTCTCTGTATTTTGCCAAACCTAAAACAGAGACTGATTATTTGTTGTGCCAAGCATCTGCCCCTTCTCCCTCTTCTTGACCTGGAGTATTTCTTCCAAGTCACTTCTTATTTCTTTTGGAAAAAATTTCTTCTACAAGGTAACAAATTAGAAAAATTTAAAAATTACCATTCTAAAGGTTCTTGTGAATCCAATGCAAATAGATACTGAATGAAGACTTTGTAGGGAACTGTCTAATGAAAGAAATGCTATCATAGCAAATGGAGACACTGCAATTAAAAAAAAAAAGAAAACACGAGAGAAACATCAATGTTTTTTCTTTGCAATGTCTACCAAAGTCCATAAATTGGCTCCAGATCCTGCAGTGAGCTCACTGCAGAATGGAAATCTTAGTTTGTGACTGGGAATTGCCACTACTAAACCAGTAATTTTTTTCGTGAACTTCCCTATCCCCCTAAACAAAAAAAAAAAGGTTAAAATTAGGTGGCATTTTAACACAAAGGGCCCATTCTTGCAAGCGCTTATGCCCATGCTTAACTTGTGATTAGTCTCTCTGAAGTTAATGGGAATACTCAAATGAGTGAAACATGTGAATAAGCACTGCAGGATTATGTCCCAAAACTGGTAGATCAACACAAACAAACTCAATCTGGGCCAAATTTGGGTTCCATAGAAGAGAGTGGAAAATGTGCTATTGACTTCAATGGAAGTAGGATTAGACCTTTAATTAGGAAGTTGCAAGGAACAAATATTTTGACTGACTTCCAGGGTCAAAACAGTTTTCTTTTAGAACTATTTTATCAAAGTTACAGCAAAGATTTTCAAAGAAGTGACCAGTGATTTTTGGGTTCCAAAGCTACACTCCTTAAAGGGGGCTGGTTTTCAGAAAGCATGGAGCACCCACACTCTGAAAGTCAGTCCCTCAAATTGAGCATCCTAAAATTCATGCACCCTAGATCACTAGTCACTTCTGAAAATCTGAATCCATTAATTGTGCATACAAGGCTAAAAGTAAAACTTCAATGAAAACTTTAAGCCATTTAAATCTTCTTAGCACATACATTTTAACTCACATAGAGAAATGTTATTGCCACGTTTTAATCCTCTTACATATAGTATATAGAAGGAATTCCTACCTAGTGTTAGTAAAATCCTTCTGACAACACCAATTTTCATAAGCCTTCTTTGCGTCTCCATGAACACCGTCACAGTCCTGACATCCTTTGGATAAAAAGGGTTTCGGAAGATTCCAAACAAGTACACTCCCTGAATCTCTCTAAGAATCCACATAACTATAAGTAATATGATCAGAATGTAACTCACTATAGCCTGGGGACTGGCTTTGGAAAATGCTGAAAAACCAGCAAAGTGATGCAGCAAGCTGGCTTCTATGAGAGCCAATGTCAAGACAGTCAAATAGAAAAAGAATTCCCTCCACACAAAGTGTATCCTAAGACCACTGGACTTAGACTTGTTGGAAGCTAAATGGCTGATCATGGTGTGCTTGAAGGCTAGACCAATCTCACTTAGGTTAAGACTGAGTATGAACCCAAATCCAGTCATGAAGAGGACTACACCAACAGTGCTAGGAATGAAATATGACGCTATAGCTGTTCCAGCAGAAATGAGAAACATTACTAACAACCTGAAAAGGAAAAAAAAAAGATTTGAATGAAAAGAAAATAGGTTATAAACTACAATGTTATATTTGATCATTATGTCAATAAAATTTACCTTGTATTACTTGACATGGGTGAACCTCCTAGGCCAAACTCCAACACTTGTTCCATTCCCCATAGAAAAAGTGCATCAAGTGGGGGCAGAATCCCCAATGCCCATAAAAATGGCAAAAACAGAAATATGATGTGCAAAATCTGGTTTGTCTGTTCTAAAACTGGTATGTTAACAGTAAACCTGGATGAAAAAGGAAATGTATTTGACTCCTATGAAAGGAAGATACTGTATGTATAGATGCAGTTCAAGTTTAACACACACGATAAATCCAGATGTATAAAAGTTATGTATCCCATATTCAAATGTCAGAATATAGTCAGACTTTATTTTTGTGTTTTTGGTTTTTTTTAAATATACTTAAATTAATGCCTGGACATTATCAGACTGACAACAACTAGAAGCCCAAAGATTGAATCCAGATCTAAATGTTTCTGAAGTTCAGTGTTTGGATCTATAATTCCAAATCAGGCCTATCTCTAATGTAAAAGTACTGTATTTGGTATAAATTATCTTAAGACATTTAAAAGCTGTAAGAATATATTGCTTGATAACTGATCCTTAAAAGGACAGTGAGGCAAACAGTTACTTCCAATAGTACTGAATTTAAGACTGAGGGTGACCATTTTAACTATGCTAACCTTATAACTTCTCAGTCTCCCACCTAACTTTTCTTGAAAGCTATTAAGTTCTTAATTTGCTATAAAGGCAAAATAAAAGCATTAAGTTCTATTGTATATTTTTCCAACTGACTGACATCTCTAATACAAATCTTTCAGGAAAGTTATTTCATAGCATCTACCAACAAACTGCATACATAAGCCAACATTACAGTTATATAAACATTATAGAAGTTTACCTGTGTGCAAGATCCACTGCAATAAAGACAAAAATATAGAACGGTCTCATCAGAGCAGTAATTTCATAAGTATCCAGTGCTTGAAAAGTAGCTGTCTCTGTAGCTGTGTTTATGATTAAAGAATATTCTCCTATACAAATAGTTACCCATCCAAACACAAAGATCACAATAGTTCCTCCAATGTTACTATACAGCAAGGTTATTCTGTTTGGCAGCAAATACCAAGTTCCCAACCCACACATTACCCCAGCAAGAAAGGAATGAAAAACAGTGTTGACTATATATTTCTTTCCTGGAATAATAAATTTAACTGTCTCTGAACCCACACAGCTGGAAAATTCATACTCATCTTCATCCCTTAGGGTATTCTGGATTTGCATTCTTTCTACTGTCACTGTTTTCTGTCTTGCATACAGATTTGTCATCTGGAGGATAAGTGCTGTAACAAGCATCAGTCCTCCTGAAAGTGCTGCAGTGTAATAGTCTTTCATAATGTCTAACTGATACAAAAGTGTTCCTACTCCTCCCAAAACCCATGGTGTCAGGAAAAGAATGATCTGATTCACATATATGTAAGGAGGCGCACAATAGCCCAATTTAAATCGGGGACCACCCAAAACAGTCTGTGGAAAGCGCTTCAAGAAGAACTCCTGTTTGTAATCATTCAGGAGAGGTACATCTGGACCCATTCTTATTACTCAGGAAACTTGGATGAGTCCCATCTTCCCTGTAGCACAACAACAGCAGATAAAGAAAAATAAGGTAGTGTTACTAAATGCCACATTCAAAACTTCACAAGTAGGCAATAAAGATAATTGTTTTGTCCTGTTTTCATTTGTAAAATCATATGGAATTCTCATGTTGTTAATTTCAGTAGACATCTTCTATCCTATTGCAGAATACACTGAACTTTAAGGACTATAAGTAAACTGTTAAAATGGGAAAAAAATTTACAACATATTTTAAAATGCAGAATATACTGACCATTGCAGAACTTATGTGAAGAATTATAGGGCTAATTTAACATGGCCTCTACTCTTTGGAGTTAATAAAATGAATTGTTTACCCTCACGACAGAGCACTTGTCTAGAATTGAAATTTACATCTAGCCCCATTCCAACTTATGATTTAAGCCTCGATCCCCCAAGGACTTCCAACTTGGAGGCCACCCATGTCCAGGAGGAACCCCATCGATTTCAGTGAGGACCCACACGCGTACAGAGGTTCCACATCGAGTTCCTTGTAAAATTAGGGCTGTCTAGATCAGGGGTCGGCAACCTTTGGGAAGTGGTGTGCCAAGTCTTCATTAATTTAAGGTTTCGCTTGCCAGTTTAAGGTTTCACATGCCAGACCGGCAGCGCAGGCAGCAGATGGAACCCCAGACCGGCAGCGGGCTGGGCCGCTCATCCTGCTGCCGGTCTGGGGTTCTGTCCGCCACAGGGTCCTGGCTGCCGGCTCTGCTCAACCCGCTGCCAGCTCGGGTTCCGTCCATCCAGGCCAGCAGCGGGCTGAGGAGGGCCAGTGGCTGGGACCCCAGCTGGCAAGGGGCCAGTGGCCAGGACTGAGAGGCTCATCCCACTGCTGGTCTGGGGTTCCGTAATCCAAGCCGGTAGCGGGCTTAGTGGGGCCAGCGGCCAGGACCCTGGCTGCCAGCAGCGTGCCACTAAAAATCAGCCCGCGTGCCGCCTTTGGCACGCGTGCCGCAGGTTGCCAACCCCTGGTCTAGATCAAACATATAACATCTTAACTGTATATATATTGGCATCAAAGCCCTTTTCAGTTACCCTGATACTTAGGAGCCCTACTCATTGACCAGGACCCAGTTGTGCTCAGCACTTCATAAACACAGAACAAAAAGATGGCTCTTGCCCGAAGAGCCTGCAATCAAAGTATAAGATAAGAGACAGATGGGGAAGTACAAGTAAACAATGCAACAAAATTGGTCAGCATGATGGACAGTGGCCTCAGCACACCACTAGCCTAATTGTTTGCCATCCCTACAAAAACACTGACAACAAGAGTTTTAAGGAGTACAATGAGGTAGCCTTGTAGATGTTTATGGGGCGCTCCATGCAACAGAGAGGGGGACAGCATGGGAGAACGCACAAGGTGCTTGTTTGAAAATTTAATAAGTAGACAATGAATGCTATTGGCTGACATACCCACTTCCTCATCTGCAATGTGGGAGAAAAAAATTGAAGACCTAATTGTAACAGGCACAACATGTATTCAGCATATGCTTGTTAATTATATGAATGAGCAAGTCCAGCAAACCATTTACAGGGTTGTTGCTTCCATTTGGATTTTTTCAGGGCCAACTGTGAATGTAGGTAGACCTCCAAAAGGAATGATTACTCAAGGGGTAGGGAAACTTAATGGAGAGTATCTTTGTACTCTACAAACATAATGATATAAATGTATGTTTTGCTCTCTTTCTGATCACAGAAGCAAGGATCTAGAGGCAACAGGCGGGAGTACTCAGTCTGAGGGCCTGGATAGAGAACAGGACTCAGAAAAAACTACGGTGTAGTGACTCACTGGTTTTGTTTTAAATAAAGTACTTGTGGATGTAGCTAGACGATTTAATGCAGAAAGTGTTTTATACTAGTTACCTTCTATCTGACAAGTAAACTGCACCCCATTTTTAACAGCACTACAGGTGTAGTGAGAAACAAATGTGCTAAGGCCACTGACATGTATCCTCTCATTACTATATTTAGTACTTGTAAGTGCTTTAGTGCACAATGTACAGTTTACATTCACCAAGGAAACAGTCACATGGTCTGCAAGCATACACTGGGCATCACAACATTCCATCAGAAATAATGGAAATGAGAGGCACCAAGATACTCTAAATTAGTGTTACTGGCCAATAATTGGCATTTTCTCTAAAAGATATTAGGCTAAATCAAGACATAATACTCAGTAATAAAATGTAGAGCCATGAGGTACTGTTGATCTGCTGCCCTTATAACACAGAGCACTCTCTACATAGTACTGTACATTTCTTTCTTCTGTTGTAACTTTGCATGTTGTGGTGTTACTTGCATTCTCTTGCAACTGAGGTGAAAACAGCACCTCAAAACAAATCATGTCTGAAAGCAACTAAAATGTAATGTGAAAATACTGCCAATCATACAGATATTGGATAGGGCATTCATTACAAACAGTTCTACAGTTTGTAAATGCAATATGGACACACCCTAGTAAAAAGGTTCAAAAAGTACATTAAAAAAGAAAAAAAAGGACATCCTAAGCTTGCTCAGAAATCACTGGAACTTTATAAATAAAATTAAATAGCATGTTTTAAAGCTGTGTGTGCAACAGTGCCAGGTTAAAAAGAGTTTGATATCTGAAAAATTGTGGGGGCATGTAAAGGAGAGAAATTCAGTTTTAAAGGAAACATAAATCAAAGGTAAAGTTTTACTTTTTTTTTTTAAATAAAGTTTCCCTGGCAGCTGTGATTTTACTGTTTTCCCACAGTGTTATTATTTGTTTCAAGTTTATTCTGCATTCTTGTTTCTAAGTATATATTTGCTAAAACATAAACAAAATATTAACCAATAAAACTATTTAACAAATAAAACACTGTTAAATATAACTTATTTCCACTACAAGGTCTGCATAAATAATAGACATACTTGCATAAAATTTAAAATCTATGTGTATAAACAACACAGTCCTCCTACCCGAATGCAATGCAAAACAGAAACATTGTAAGGCACTATAAAAAAAACAATAAACAAATTTATAAGAGAAATCAGAGACTTAAGCCCAACAAATATGGGAAACCATGTAATCTTAAATATCTCTGACCTCTGAATTGATAAATATGTTGGTGCCAAATCTTCAAACAGGAGATTACGTATGTATAGTTACCTCTGCACGAGTCCCAGCAAAAGTAACTGTTTGCAGGATCTACCCTTAGTTTGCATTTCTAAAGTATGTGGACAGTTCTAGGCTGACCACATTGCCTGGTTACCTTGCTGGCCTGGGTGACAACAGTCACATCAAACATAAGCTACCTTTCTTCACTTTCAAAGCCCTTCATGGCCTAACTCCAACCTACCTATTTTCTCTCTTTCATTACTGAAGCATCAACTTCCACCTCTGATGAGCCCATGATGTAATTTGTTAAACTGTCAAACAAGCACCATTGTGTTTTCTTCCATGCTGTCCCTCATCTGGGAGAAGCATCCCACAAAATATCTGCAAAGCTACCTCATTAGTATCCTTTGCTGGGATGCCTACAAAAACACTGACAATAGGTAGGCCACTGAAGTGCTAATACCACTGCCTATCATACTCATCAATATTGTCTCAATGTTTCCTTGTACTCCCCCAACCTATATCCATCTGTTGTCCCTTGTCTTATACTTTGATTGTAAGATCTTGGGGGGGTTGCAGCTTTTTGTTCCGTTTGTACTAGCACAATGGGCTCCTAGGTACTACTACAATACAAACAACAACAATTGGACATAACCAGGGTAGTTCTACACCTATATTTCTCCGTTGCTTATATCATCCCCATTACCCAATAGTATCTGAACACCATTAAATCTTTTAACGTGTTTATCCTCACAATATCCCCCTGAGGTAGACATGTGTTATCCTTGTGTTATTTTACAGATGGAGAACAGAGGCACAAAGAGACTTGACCAAAGTCACATAGGAAGTTATTGGTGGAGTCAGGACATGAACCCTAATCTCCCAAGCTAGTGCCCTATGTATGAGACCATCCTTCCTCTACAGGGCTTAGATCGTTAAGTGCAGCTTTAAATTTCTTGGAGAGGCTGAAAGGGTGAGGTGGATGAATGCCTACTTCTAATATTTCACAGCAAAACATAGGCTTATATTTGTATAATTTTAATTTTTTAAATTATGTCATATAAGGCTTTGGGGTTATTTAAAAGTTATCTGCTTAGTACAAGCCAGGCCACAATACTCAACACCTCTCATCACATGAAACTATCAGTCAGTAAGATCAACCAACCATAAACAAACAAATAAATAAATACAAAAATAAGCACACCCTTACCCCAAGCAGAGTTTTAATCCTGAGAGACTTCATGAAGTTCACCAAGGACTTAATTACTGCTATGAAATGTTCATAGAAGGTGCTCAGCTATCATGATGAGGGGGTGGCAATATAAAACCCTAAAATCAGAAGTAGATTTTGTACTTGGATTAGCAACTGATCATGACAATTTTGGAAGACTGTTATCTAACACTACATATCTGTATACATAGCTCCATATCTGCATACACACAAACCTCGTGTCAGATCAAGGGTCACCTACAAATTGCACAGCCTTTGTACTAAAAACTAAGAAAGATAAGGTCAAGTTTGTTTTAGTTGAAGTGCAAGGCTCGGGATACATCAACACCTTAGTCCTAGGGCCAGCATTCACATCCAGGGCCGGCTCCAGCGTTTTTGCTACCCCAAGCGGCGGGAAAAAAAAATCCGCAATAGGTGGCACTTCGGCAGCAGCTCTACCGCCGCCGCTTCATTCTTCAGCGGCAATTCGGCAGCAGGTCCTTCTCTCCAAGAGGGACTGAGGGACCCGCCTCCGAATTGCCGCCGAAGAGCCAGACGTGCCGCCCCTTTCGTTGGCTGCCCCAAGCACCTGCTTGCTGCGCTGGTACCTGGAGCCAGCCCTGTTCACACCCCCCTCTCAGCTCCCACAGCGGCACCCAAAATGTCCTTTGCGCAAG